GTAAAATTTAAAATAGTAAAAATATATTTAATCCATTTTGCCTTTTTCCTTGATGTCACATTTTAGTGCACCATCTTTATCATGTCTCATCTTATTATATTTAGTAGTTGGAAATGCTTGCAATGATCTCAAAGCCTCACAGGGCTATATAAAGATATCAAACAATATTAAATAAAGGCAACTGTTGGAAGAAATATACAAGTCCAGTTCCAAACCAGGAGAAAGGCACTGGAGACAAAATGGAGGCTTGAGGTCGATTGAAAAGAATCACATGGGTTCTGGACAGCTGACCACATGGAGTTGGTTCGGAGTCTTATGGCTAGGAGTCAGAAACCCTTTCAATGTTCCCAAAGCCAACCTAAGAGTCAGAGGGGATGGTCTACAGGATGGGGTGAAAAGCCATAAGTTCCCACTCAGACGAACAGTCCATTTCCTCAGAATCAGACTTTGAAGCTCAGATAGAAAGGTGTAAAGTATGAGTTGTTTGGAAGATCCTGGATCTTGAAAGCTGCAACCTTGAATTTGGGGCTGGAGCAGCAGGAACAGCTGAATGGACAGATTTTGTGGGGAGGAAGGCGGCCCAGTTTGATGGTCACAAGCCTAGAGCCTGAGATACTCTCATTTCCAGTCCTGCTTTAGGCACAAAGCCATCTCAAGAGACCTTGGCCTGTCCTGTCCTCTCAGGCCCTGGAAATGGAAATCCATTTCTCGATAATATTCTTTCTTACCTGCGTCCTTCCAGAGCCTAAATCTCACTAGAGGGAAGAGTTCCTCTGAGCAGCCTTCCCAATCTCTACAGGAGTTAGATTTATTATTCCCAAACAGTTTGGGCATAAGACTTGGAGGGCACTAGTTTGCAGAAAGCTGATGTATAAATAGATTCTTAGAGGTGACTCAGTGGAGATCAAAACCTTTCTACATACCAATACTTTATGACTGATTTCCTGTGGCTCCCAAGGATTTAGGACCCAGGAGGTTCAGTGGGTCAGAGCCTCAAAAGGAGCCAGCTTCCTTCGTGCTGTCCGGAGATGCTTCCAAGCACACCCTTGCTAAACGCCTTGTGCTTCTGTAACTTTGCATACACAGAAGTCTCCATTGGGTCAAAGCAAAAAAGTCACAGACCCAGCAGGGCTAGAAAAGGGGGGCTTGGGAAGAGGAGATGACTGTCTGTATACGGTGAGAGAAATGTTTCCAAAAGGCATTTCAAAGGTTGGGAAAAAAGGTTAGTAATGCAGATGTGCGTGCAAAAATGTATCAAAGTTGCCCCACTCTTTGTTTGATATACATTCCTTTTTTTTAGTTCAAAAATTTGATAAAATATACAAAACCACAAAAACAAGTGATTGAGAAGCAGGAAAGGAATAAAAAAAAGAAAAATAACATAATTGAATCTTCCGCCCTTTTCTCTGTTGAGAAATTGTCATCACACATTGTTACTGTATTTTGAAAATTACCTCTGCTCAGTTGACCATAATAAAACCTTCCTTGGCAACGGATCCTGGCCTGAATCCCATTCCTCAGAGAAATCCGGTCTAACATTTCCCTTCCACATTACTCATCTGTGCAGAGGAACAGGGAGATAGCAGTAACCAGATCCTCATGGTTGAGTCCTACTTAAGGACTGCTTAGTCCAGGTAGGATCCCAGGGAATGAGAGCACACCAACAAGCCATGTTTTTCACTGCTTGCTGTCAGAAAGGATAAAAATAAAATCTTTTAAAAAAATTAAAGCAATCAGATTTTTTAAAATTCAAATCAGATTTTTTAAATGAAATGCTTTTGGAGTACAAATCTAAATAGAATTTTCTATTTAAGATACTTTAATAATTTAGTTTTGTAAGGTCTGCAGTACGCTTAAGCCAAAAATGAAACAAAACAAAGACTTAAACCGAAGTTTGCAAATCAAAGAAAGCAGTCTTTTATTCTTTGATCAAAGTTAAAGTTCTGGGAAGAAGTTCCTAGCACATCACAAGAGACATGGGAGGAAAATTCTACAAAATACAGAAAGATGCCCTGTCCTTCTTATACCTTTAAGATTCTTAGAAGTGGAGTAACTGCATTGTAAAACTCTCCAACTTAGATTTACATCTTTCCTGCAAAGACAAATTTCTCTCAGGCATTGTTTGCCTTTCATGTCTAATTGATCACAATTGACCACTTAAGGAAGCTATTAGCAGCATACTTCAAGGTGTGGATTCCTCAGAATGGAGATAGTTACATTCCCAGAGAGGTACATTTCATTCCCAGGGGTTGATGCTGGGGTGAAATGTATCAATCCAGGAAAACAGATGGATTCAGATTGATTTATATGGGACAATCATGTGTCTTAATAGGAGAAGAATGTAACTGATTATGTTTATAATTGTTTTACAACAAGTGAAAGGTTAAGGAAAGTACAGAATGATGCTGGACTATTTTTGATAATCCCATTTGGGAAACTACAAGGTCAGCATGGCAACTATGCGCTCTGTGAGATATGGTCAGGGAATGTAAACACCTTGACTCAACACACTGTTCCAGAAATTCCTATCTGATTCTTCCTCCTGTAGCCACTCGGGTCCAATTCAACTAGTTGTCAATGTTTACTTAAAAGACTTTAAGGCATCTGTACAACTTGTCTAGTGAATGGTCTGTGTGGATAATCTCTGGTGACTTTCCATGACTGAGTGGCGAACACAACGTGTACCTCCATGTAAACAAAGCCCAGCACTATATCCACCCTACCCTATACCCTCCCTATGCTCAGACTGAACAAACTGTCAACTCGTAAAGCATCCCTGACCTGCTCTCGTGTTGGCATAGGCAAAGGGGATGAGAAGACGAATTTTGCAGCTGCATCAAGGAGCTAGTATCTCAGTCAAATCAACGCACATCCCAACCAATACGCTGAAGTCCGTGCTGCCATGAAGTTCCTAATAAATAACTGGATCATGTGAAGTTATAGTACTGCTTTACAAAGTGTTAGTAAGACCACACTTAGAATACTGCATGTAATTCTAGTCCCTCCAGAGTGACTAGAGACTCTGGAAAGAGTGTGGAGAAGAGCAACAAAGATGATTAGGGGGCTGGAGGCTAAAACACATGAAGAATGGTTACAGGAATTGGGTATCTTTAGTCTAATGAAAAGAAGGACAAGGGGAGACATGATAGCAGAATTCCAATATTTGAGTGGCTGCCATAAAGAAGAGGGGGTCAACTTATTTTCCAAAGCACCAGAAGGCAAGAAAAAGAACAATGGATGGAAACTAATGAAGGAGAGAAGCAACTTAGGTTCTCCTACTTTATTAGGGGTTGGAGGTAAGACCTCCAAGGTCCGTTCCAGATCTATTCAGATTGATTGATTGATCTTGAAAGATGCATCCTTGAATTTGCTTTTGGGAGTTTGGTGTAGTGGTGAAGGCAGGAGGTTAGAGATAGAGAAATGCTTAGTTCCAGTCCCAACTGAACGGCAAAAGCATCTGTTCAACTTTGGCCAGTCCTCTTAAGCTTACAAAGCAGGAAAGGCGGGAAACCCCTTCCAAAAAACCCTGCCAAGGAAACTGCAAGGCCAGGCATTAAGACTGACGCAAAGGCACCAAAACCAAAGCTAAATAGCATCAGGTTTCACTATTTCAAGGGGCTTAGTTCTTTACTTCAACTCCCAGAATCCCCTGGCCAAGATGCTTTAAAAGGGGAGGATTTCAACTCCCAGAACTCTGAAGCCAGCATACTTTAGGAGGGATGGATTTCTTGCTGGCTGGGGGATTCTGGGAGAAAGCATCTTAGTGAGTTAATCGTTAGCAGAGAGTAAATTGTGGAAACCTGGTTTGTTAACTGTGCTGACATTTCTTGGAGAGAAGTCCTGGCAACTTTTTTTAAAACAAATTTTTAATTTTTATATTTTAAAAACATCTCTTTTGGTGAACAATGTGGTTCCAAGTTTTTACATTTCAATACAAACATGACCTTAGTTATATATTCATCTTTCATATTCTATTTCGTATCATATCATTACTTTTCCCATTTTCCTTTAGATATCCTCAAATATTCTTATATTCATCACACTTATTTTATCAATTTCCAATTCATATCATAACTTATTTCATTTTTCTTTAAATACTCTCATGTCTTATTTTACAATGTTATCTAAAATTCATATTTCATTTCTATATTTATTTATCTGTCACATTCCTCAAACAAGGAATATTTCTTTCTCCTTTTCGGGGTTATCTTCATCTAACCATTATCTCTAGCTCTGGTAACTGTGTAATTGCTTTTCATTTTTGTTTACTTTCTACATCCCCTCATTTTCTGGTCCTTTCTCTTAATCCCCCTTTTTTCCTTTATTATTTCCCTCCATTTCTTACTCCAATTTATCCTAGGTTAGGAGGATTCTAGCAACTTCTTAGGATGCTCCTAAATCCAGCAGATTAAAAAGGATGACCTCTGAGGTCCTTCGAGCTTTATTGTATTCGGTTCCTATTTAATGTTCTGTTCTAATCCCTATTCTATTTTCTCTTTTATGCAGTTCTGTTTTCTATTCTGTCCTATTTTCTATTCAGAAGCGGTTCCAGGGTGGAACTGAGGTAACGGGATGTGAGGCAACTGGCAGTTGGAACAGAGCTCTTTTCTGGTGGGGGAGCGGGAGTAGAACTCCTTAGCATCAAAAAATCCTTTCTTAGCAAGCACCTAGAAGCCAATATGGGCCAGATTTCAAGTTTGTAGGCTTTATGGGGTTCTGGACATTTTGTGATGACGCACGAGTGGTTTTTCGTTTTTATATATACATAGATGAAAACATCTCCCAAATGCTTGGTGGAGCCTGGACAAAGCGTGTTTTTCCACTTCCTGTCGCTAGATGGCGGTAAGGCAACAATCGATACCAAGAAAGGCATCAATTCAGTACTGCCATCTGCGCTTGAGCTTAAAAAAGCCATTTTTAAACCATTGAGTACTGCATTGCTAGAAAGGATAGAAAGAGTGAAGAAGCTCAGGGGAACTTCCTCTTCCGGATGCCTCATGGGAAGAAAGGTGGTGTGCAGAGCGGCTTCTGTGCTCTTCCACGAATCGAAGCAGCAGGTAGGCGAGTTCGGGAGCAAGTCGGGCTGTTTGGTTCCCTCCACGGCCGGGAAGCAGAGAAGCAACTGAGCTGAAGCGTGTCAGCTGCTGCTGCAGGTTCCTTCCCTCCCCAGATGGGAGCCCGCTGGGGCTGCACGCTGTGAAACTGGTGGCTGTAATTCTCTGCTGGAGGGAAGATTTAAAAAGCCTCTTTCAAGCGAAGGTGGAAGGTCCCTCAAGAGGTTGTGAGGGGCTCCGTGACTGGAGGGTCTTCAGAGGAGATTGGACAGCCATTTGTTCGGAATGGAATTGGGTCTCCTGCCTGAACAGGGGATGGACTAGAAGACCTCCAAGGTCCCCCCAAACTCAATTATTCTGTAGTGGACCCGATGTTTTCTGGGCAACAAGATCGGGCTGATGTGCCTCTTGGTCTTTTCTGGGTTGTTCTTGTTTTGTTTTACTTCCATTTCAAGCTAACGAGTAGGTGCCCCCATCCGTGTATTCAGCAGGTTCAACTGTGCTTAAATGCAGCACTTTTTTAAAAAAAATAGCTATTGATCAGACTGGTTAGTGACACAGATGCCCATCCTAATTGCAGTCAGTAAGTGAGGACTACTTCAATTGAGATGTCACCAAAGGGATTGTGGAAAATATTTTCTGCCCTTACTTGGAGCTCATGGCTTCCATGGGCAAAACTGGTGCTTCAAATCTTGCAGAGGCTTGAGGCACCATTTCATCAGTTAAAGCCCCACATCTTTAAAGTTAGTGTGATGCAGACTGAGAGGTGTGGCTTGATGAAATAAAAGACAGAATCCAAGTGTGTGTATGTTTATAAACCAATGCATTTATTCATCTGAATAAAGATGGGTCCCTCCTAAGGAGGAAGGAACCCAGGACATAGTGCAAGGCAGATATTGGTACATTTCTTTGGTTTTGCTTCATTACATAAGAGGGAGCTGGCACTTGCCAGATAAGACATAGAAATATAGAAATTATAAAAATTACAAAAATAGTCAAGTGTGCCTTCTGTGGTTTTGGTCACATGTCTAATCAGATTCCTGATTAACATTAGCACAAAAGTTTTGAGTAACCATTTTGAAATGTTTTTCAGGCTTGAAAGATTGGATTTTTTTCCATATTGTATGTGTATGTATTTTTATTTCTCTGAATATATCTATCTGCAAATGAATAGTCTCTTTCCAGGGCTTCCGGATATACAATCATATGGAAAAGAAAATATGTTCTCCTTGACTTTTATGATTTTACATTTCAGTTGGCCCACAATCAATTGGTCCTTTAAAAAGTTCTTAAAAGTAGGTAAATACAATCACAGATGAAGAACAATACATGGCATATTATACCAAATCATCATTTATTTTATAAAAAGAAAGCCAAAAGGGACAAGTCGTTTTTGAAAAATGTGGGATTCAATAATTCATTGAACCACTTTTAGCAGCAACAACTAGAAGTAATTCTTTTCTGTGTGACTTTATCAGTCTTGCAGCATTGTGGAGGAATTTTGGCTCGCTCTTCTTTACAACATTGCTTCAGTTCATTGAGGATTGTGGGTGTTCTTTTATGCACAACTCTTGAGGTCCCTCCAATCGGTTTGAGGTCTGGACTTTGACTGCCATTGGAACATCTTGGTTCTTTTCTTTTTCAGCCATCCTGTTGTAGATTTCTTGATGTGTTTTGTGACCATTTTCCTGTTGCATAATCCCATGTCAGCCTAGCTTTAGCTATTGGACAGATGGCATCACTTTTGACTCTAGAACACTTTGGTATACAGAAGAGTTCATGGTTGACTCAAAGATTGCAAGGTGTCCAGGTTCTGCGGCTGCAAAACAAGCCCAAATCATCACCCCTCCACCTCCGTTGTTGACGGTTTGTATAAGATGCTTGTGCTGATATGCTGTGTTTGGTTTTCATTAAAAGTGTCATTGTGCATTTTGGCCAAACATCTCCACTTTGGTCTCATCTGTGCAAAGGACAAGAAGTCCTGTGATTTGTTCAGATGCAACTTTGCAAACCTCAGCCATGCTGCTATGACCTTTTTAGAGAGAAGAGACTTTCCCCTGGTAACCCTTCAATACAAATCATACTTGCTCAGTCTTTTTCTACTTGCACTGTCATGAATTTTGACATTTAAAATGCTAAACAAAGCCTGTAAAGTCGGAAATAGAATTCTTTGGTGTTTCTGCAGTTTCTCTGGCCATTGCATTGTCTGGCCTCAGGGAGAATTTTCTTGGATGTTACTCCTGAGAAGATTGGCAATTGTTTTGAATGTTTCCCACTTGTGAATAATCTTCCTCACTGTAGAATGATGGATTTTAAATTGTTTGGAATTGACCTTTTAAACCTTCCCAAATCGATGGGCGGCAATAGTTCCTTTTCTAAGATAATTGCTGATCCTTTATTCTTTGCCACGGTGTTAACACACACCTCAATGCCAGAGATCAGCAAACTCCTACATTTTCAGCTTTTATAGATGTAGTTATACTTGCTGATGATATAACTGATCAATGGCACTGTGTTAGCAGTACTTAGCTGCTATTTCACCTCATAATACTATGAAAGCAGTGAGAAATTTCCTCATGGGAAGAATAATTAACCAGCAGAAAGGATGGCCTTTAGGGTTTGGTGCTCCATCACTTGAGGCTTTTCAGATATGTTTTATTTGTAATTTTCCTTTAACAACCATACATATTTTGTATGACAGCATATTGACTGGGTCAATATACTTTTTAGACAATGCTAACAACAATAATAAGAGACACGGTGGCTCAGTGGTTAAGATGCTGATCTTGTAGATCACAAAAGCCAGCAATTCAGCAGTTTGAATCCCTCGTATCTGACTCTTTAATCCTTCTCCATGTATCCAGTAGCTGCTTTCTTAATGTTTGGAGATTATTTTTTGAAATTGTTTTACTTGGGTTAGATCTTTAGAATAAAAGTTGGAAGTTAATTCAAATGATTATCTTACATGATTATCTTATGGTAATTTTTAATATGAGTTAAAGGGAAGTAAACTGAATGATGTATAAGACAAAAGGGTGGTGCACTCAAATGGGCTATTAAGGGGGAAATGTTTGGAATTATTAAAACTAAGATGGAATATATTTAATAATGAAATAAGAGTATGTGATGAAATTGCAAATATGACGGAAAAAAGTAAAAAAGTATAATGTATGTAAATTAAGAATATAAGAATTTTATGATATTATGTAAAGAATACATGAGTGTAATTAAAAATGGAATAAGGAATTGAAAATGAATAAAAGCGTGAAAAATATAAGAATATTTGTGAAAATTTACCGAAAATGAAAAATGCAATGATATGATAAGAAACTGAATATGAAAGATAAATATGTAATTATGGACATGTTTGTATGGAAATGTAAAAACCTGGAACCACATTGTTCACCAAAAGAGATATTTGTAAAAGATAAAAATAAAAAACTTTTTACAAAAAAAACGGACCTAACAAGGAAATTGTGGTGTCCTTGTGATAATTGAAGCACTTCTCCTTCCTTCATCACCTCTCCAAGGCGGTTTTGACTCTGTAGGGCAGGGGTCCCCCAAACTCGGCAACTTGAAGAGTTATGGACAATAACTCCCATAGCTGGCTGGAGAATTCTGGGAGTTGAAGTCCACAAGTCTTCAAGTTGCCAAGTTTGGAGACCTCTGCTTTCGGGTCTCCTAGCAGATACCAGCTGGTTTTCACTCAGCTCGGCAGAGCTCCACTGTTTTTCAGCCGTTGCCACCATGCCGCCAACCAGTCTCCCCATTTGAGGCTTTTCAGAAGAGATGAGACAGCCACTTGTCTGACGTAGTATAGGGCCTCCTGCTTGAGCAAGGGCTGGATTAGAAGATTTCCCTTCCAAATTCTATTCTGTTCTTTTTTAATATTATTTTAAAAAGATGATATTTTACAATAATCCCATTTCATTTCAACTGTGTGTCAACTAGGTATATATATCTTGTGCTTACAAGTATAATTAATACTTTTCTTACCAATATAACAAGAATCACATTTTCTTATAGCCATTATTTAATATATCTGTTATTATTTTTAACAATCTTAACTTATTGCTCTATATATTCATCTGGTCCATTTTATTTTATTTTCTAACCATAAAATAAATTCTATACCATATAATATTCCATTTCTTCTTTTTCTTTAATTACCAATGTTAACCTTTTCATCTCTGCACATTCAAATATTTTCTCAATTACTTTTCCCTCTATTGGTATCTTATCACTTTTCCAATTCTGAGAAAATACAATTCTGGCTGCTGTTAATACATGTATAATTAAATATGTTTTTTCTTTACTGTAACCTTCAGGTACTATTCTTAATAAAAATATTTCAGGTTTCAAATCTGTGTGTTTTATCATTTTTTGCAACCATATGCGTATTTTTGTCCAGTATCTTTTAGCTTCTATACAAGACTACCACATATGGTAATATGTTCCAGGTGTCCGGTGGCACTTCCAGCATTTACCTGATTTATCTTTGAACATCTTAGCTAATTTTGCTGGTGCAAAATGCCATCTATAAAAAATCTTAGCATTCTTTGTATGCTGTTGATATTGTTAATTTATAATTCCTATCCCATTTTTGCCTAGCCTATCATTGCTTTTTTTAACTTGTTCTTCTAGTTTAACAACTAATAAATAGCAATATAATATTTTAATCTTCCAACTTATATTCTATTCCTATTCGTACTTTATCCAATTCTGTCAACTCCTAATGAATCCCTTCAGCTTTAATCTCTTTTTCATATCTTGATTGTATTTGCATATATAAATACCAATGCATTTACAGCCCTTGTTCATTCAATTCTTGTTTAGTATTGAACTCACCTTTTTTCATTTCCCATTTTACAAACATTTGGGTGTATGAGTGCTTCCATTGTTGATAGCCAGACTGGAATCTTCATGTTATGTTGTTCTATAGTTTTTTCTCATACTAATAACAATGCATTCCTGACCATATGTCTTTGAAAATATATATTTTCCTTCTCCCATACCATAGAAATGCATGCCAGCCCAGTTGTAAATCATGTCCCTCTAGCGTTAACAACCTTCTATTTCTCAGTGTTATCCATTCTTTCATCCAGGTTAATACTGTGGCCTGATAATACCTGTATATTTCCCAAGTAGGTAACCCAAACCCTCCTCTGGTTCTCACATCCTAAAACAATAGAAATGAAAGAGAGTGAACTTTCTTTTTCACTTGACTGTATTTGAAAAAAATCATTTGCATTGCTAAGAATTTGTGATTGATCCAGTCAACTGAATTTCATAATTTTTCATTGTAATGAAAATGTAATAGTTGTTTTTCCTCATGTTCTGCAATCATTAAAGATGCCCTTTTATTTCAATCTTATAGATGAAGAGGATGGCGATAAGAGCACTCTGGACAACTGAGGATAACAAGCAACATTGAATAACAAAGCAAGTCAGTCCAGAAATCAAAACATTTTACATTTCCTTCAGAGCGCCACACAATTCTTCACCTTCCTCAAGAGGTAAGAGAGAAACAAGAGAAGAGGAAGAAGAGATTTCTACCTGGGAAAAGTAATGTGTGAAATTCAAGCATACGTTACATGAGAAGTCAATAGAGATTATTTTTCCATTCAGCTAAAGAAGGAAATGAAAACGTCATTGGGGAGAAAAACGTCAACTGGAAAGCCACGTAGAGCATACAGTGTTGCAGGCCTCATTCTGGAAGGAAGAAAATGACCGGTAAATCAAAACATATCTAAACAAGGAATAGTCCATATTTTTTATCTCCTCAAGAATATTAATTGTGGAAAAGCTCCATAGATGTGCCAGTTGTGGGAAAGATACAACTTGCAAATCAGAGTTGATTATGCATGAGAGGATTCAGACTGGAGAAAAGCCATACATATAATCTGAATGTGGCAAAACCTTTGATCAGAACAACTCGGTTGTGGTTTTTCGAAAGATCCATCCAAGAAAAATCCCATAAGTGCTCCAAATGCGGTAAATTCTTTAGCAAGCATGGCCACTAGGACTCATACCAAAGAGAAACGGTTTGAATGTCCTGATTGTGGGAAAAGTTTCCGTCAGAATTCCATGCTGGTGACACACCAGAGGACTCACACAGGAGAGAAACCGTTTGAATGTCTTGATTGTGGGAAAAGTTTCAGACAGAGTTCCAATCTGGTGAAACACCAGAGGACTCACACAGGAGAGAAACCCTTTAAATGTCCTGATTGTGGGAAAAGTTTCAGTCAGACTTCTGACCTAGTGACACATCAGAGGACTCACACAGGTGTGAAACCCTTTGAATGTCCTGATTGTGGTAAAAGTTTCTGTCAAAATTCCGGCCTGGTGATCCACCAGAGGACTCACACAGGAGAGAAACCCTTTGAATGTCCTGATTG